ACATCCAGTCTCGTACCCAGAGCTCAGTCCAGTGCATTTCAGAACAAACATGGATTAGACTGATATTTAAAAATGACACTGAGGTCAGGCTGACTCTTAATGATCCTAATGGCTGCGTAAAAACTAACGCATTCACCTCCTTATTTCTCCACATCTACAGTACAGACCAAACGTTTGGACGCCTTCTCATTCAAAGAGTTTTTATTATTTTCATGACTTTGAAAATTGTAGATTCACCCTGAAGGCATCAAAACTATGAATGAACACATGTGGAATTAAATACTTAACAAAAAAGTGTGAAACGGCTGAAAATCTGTCTGATATTCCAGGTTCCTCAAAGTAGCCTCCTTTAGCTCTGATCACTGCTTCGCTCTCTCTTTCATTCTCTTGATGAGCTTCCAGAGGCCGTCACCTGAAATGGTTTTTCCATCGTTCATGAAGGAGTTCCCAGAGATGCTGAGCACCTGTTGGTCCTTTGCCTTCACTCTGAGGTCCAGCTCACCCCAAACCATCTGGACTGGGTTTCAAACCTGATGGAATAGCATGGCGCTGTAAGATGCTATGGTAGCCATGTTGGCTCAGTATGCCTTCAGCGTTTTTCTTTACTTAGCTGCTTTTTTCTTTCCATAATCCAAATCCTAACAGTCTATTTAGCAGGACTATCAGCTGTGGATCCTCCTGACTTCTGCTCAACACACCTGATGCTCCCACCCCCATTTATAAGGCAAGAAATCCCACTTATTAAACCTGACAGGGGACACCTGTGAAGTAAAACCATTTCAGGTGACGGCCTCTGGAAGCTCATCAAGAGAACGAAAGAGTGAGCGAAGCAGTGATCAGAGCTAAAGGAGGCTACTTTGAAGAACCGAGAATATAAGACAGATTTTCAGTTTCACAGCTTTTTGTTAAGTATTTAATTCCACACGTGTTCATTCGTTTTGATGCCTTCAGGGTGAATCTACAATTTTCAGTCATGAAAATAAAGAAAAGTCTTAGAATGAGAAGCTGTGTCCAAACGTTTGGTCTGTAGATCAGACCAATTCTGTGAAAACATGAACCTTGAGATCCTGTAATGGACTGACCAAGAGGACTTACAGGCATGTGACCAGCAGCAGACAGAGGCGGGCTCT